TTGGTAGAACATAAACAAAAAGTAGTTTAATAAAATTTTGAATGTAAGACACTAAAATCTTGTATCATGCACAGTAAAGTGTACCCAGGGCAATAGGGTTAAGTGAATTATTTTATCATTTGCAGTTACAAGACATTTTAAACACAGATACTGAAGTAGATTTATGACAAAGATGAAAAATTTGTTTTAAGACATAAGAACAAGAATTTTCTTTTCTATATTGATTTTATCTAATTCTCAATCTTTCGGTCATAGTTTTAGTAACCTTATTTAAGTGCTTCAGTCAACAAAATACTGTTGGTGAAATTATAATCAAAAAGTTTGTGAACTAAATACTCATACTTCCTGGAATAAAATACCGCACTGCCCCTAATTAATGCTCCCACGGTCGTTGCAAACTGAAAAGGTGGGGGTGCTAATTATAGTATTTGTGCTCTTCCAGATTCTATTTTTCACATGTGATTTGTTGATTTCAGTGCTAATTAGTGTGTGTTTGGTTTTCTTTTTTTTCAAATCAAAATTATGGTAATAAAAATGGATTATATGTTGAATTACTATTGCTCTCACACAAGGTAAGCTTTATAAAAATACCAGGGATGATAATTGGTGTGCATTAATTAGAGGCAATATGGTAAGCATTAGAATTAGCTTCATAATTCTCTCTCTTTATTTGTGTAAGGCTGGGCACATGTTCTCGGAATGTGAATCGGGGCAGTTCATGTATTACAGTATATTGCAACACAAATGCTTTTTTTTCTAAATCTCACACACTGCCCTGTTTTCTTGCAAACCAGTACATCTCTAGTACATCTCTAGTTTACTGAAGAGATAGACGAACACTTGCTTACTTCTTAGTTTCAGCGGGAGATTTCCCATTGTAGCATAGATCTTATTCTACCACTTATAAATTTTTAGTGTTTCTGACATATCCACATTCATACAGTTATTTATTCCTATACTACATTTCCCAAAAAGGACTCAGGCTCCTCGTTTCGATCTGTGAATCATCCTTCACTTATTAAAATCAATAGAGAGTTGTTGTTTTTTCTCGTCGTTTTAATTTTCAGTTCCAACTAAATTTCACCAGACTGTTATATTAATCCCAAGAGGAGAATAAAACCCTGCATTTTGGTAAAGCTATTCCTCCCATTCGCTGGGCTTAATTGTTTTTTCAGTTGGTTTGCAGAATTTTGTGTTGCAAACTGCTTTTATATTTTCAAATGGAATTTCGCAAAACTTTAGGGAAAGTAAACTATCATTGATGACAGTTGTGACAATATTTGATATGGTAGCACCTTTAAATTACCATGTCAATAGTGTAGCAAAGTTTTGATAATCCTAGGACGAGCGTTATTTATTGCATATTTTGTCATTTTAACAACAACAAAAAAATTAATTTGGTAGATACAATTTTTTTGTAAAATATAATTTTAAAATATCAATAATTTTTATACAGTGGTTCAAATCGAAGCATGTACAGGGTGTCATGTCATGAATGGTACATTGTTGCTAAGGGAACATTGAATTGGGAAAAACAAAGATTTTTTTTTTCCTTTCGAGATTGTTCTGGAAAGTTCTGCTATGACATCACACATGATGACTCTCGATTAGCCATGGCAAAGAATTCATGTAAAGTAGTAGAGAAATTCTTTTTGTTACCAACAAATTTTTCCAGTGTAGTTATACAAAATGTGAGTTTGTTTGTTTGAAGTTAAGCATAAAGCAACACAATGGGCTACGTGTGCTCTATCCACCGCTAGTATCGAAACCTGGATTTTAGCTTTGTAAGTCCACGCACATACCACTGTGCCACTGGGGATTATGTGAGTTTGTTTGTTTGTTTGAAGTTACGCATAAAGCAATACAATGGGCTACGTGTGCTCTATCCACCGCTAGTATCAAAACCTGGATTCTAGCTTTGTAAGTACACGGACATTCCACTGTGCCACTGGGGATTATGTGAGTTTGTTTGTTTGTTTGAAGTTAAGCATAAAGCAACACAATGGGTTACCTGTGCTCTATCCACCGCTAGTATCGAAACCTGGATTCTAGCTTTGTAAGTCCACGGACATGCCACTGTGCCACTGGGGATTATGTGAGTTTGTTTGTTTGTTTGAAGTTAAGCACAAAGCAACACAATAAGCATTGATGGTGATCACATACAGTAACTGGGTAAACTATTATATACCTTTTTTAATTGAGTTAGTCCTATGAAGATATTCAGGTAGTTAAATTGCCATTTTGTTTAACCCTATTTCCACAAGCATCCTTTACTGTGCATGTCAGGAGGTTTTAGTGACTTACATTCAAAATTTAATAAAATTACTTTTTGTTTATGTTATTCCAATAAGTATAGCATAAAATTATCCATATTTTAATAGTACATAAGTTTTAAGTTCTTAACGCTATAAGGCAATATTTTAAAAAAATCCTAGTGTGAAAAGTGTGACATAGTTTCTCTAGGGATCCCCTCTTCTCTATTTTATTCACTACTCCTCCAATAAGTATGAAATTTAACGTAAATTTCTCACAATAAAATCATCATTGCCCAGACAAACCATAATGTTTATAGTCTTCAATCTTATTTGGTTACAGAGCCATCAAATAGAAAATCAGCCCCCTCTTGCCACACCCACCTGTCACATCCTCTTTTTCAGGATTTGTTAATAGCTCTCTCTTACTCTTAATGCTATATTATGTATAACCAATAAAAAGCCAAGGTTTTCATCTTTCAAATGATGTATAAAATACGTTGTTTCTGAACAGAGGAATGTCATTTTCGCTGTTAGTACAAGCTTTGTCTGCTTTTTGCATATTATTATTCTATATTCTTTGGTGCTGTATTTAATTAAGTAAAAATTATTTAGTGCATTACTATCATTAGTATAAAAAAGTAGGGTTAAGTGTCATAGACAGTCAACAGCAAAAAACAATGAAGACCTGGGTAAGTAATTTATTTCTTGTTTTTCATGTTTATTCTTTATTTATTATTATAAAAGTAACTAAAATGTAAAAATAGGGATCTCTTTAGGTTAGTTAAGGTTAGATTAGGTAAAATAAATAATAACATAATATAAATGTTTCACGAGGCATGCACGTGAGCAGCCTGGAGTAGTTTGTGGGTAATGTAATTAGATAGCATAACATGAGCTCCATATTCCCCAAGTGATTTACAATTTATAATGGCATGAATAGTAGTAGTTACACATGGTTGAAAGAGCAATCAAAGGGCAATAAAATAGATGTATACTGTTATGAGTTTAAAGCTACTTAGGATAAACGAATGTAGTTTCATGTTACAATTTGAAATCATTCTAGAAAGAAAAAAGGGTAATTTAAATTTATTTAGATGTTGTTGTTGTTTTTTTTTGGTGGTTACAAGGTAGGTCAAATTGAACAACTTTGTATGTAGTTGGGGTAGAGAAAATAACAGTTAAAATATAAAGTTTTACTGAAAACAAACATTTGAAATCTTTTTAGGAGATTTTTGAGATGAAGAAAAGTATTTTTAATCTTAACATGAAAATCACTTTGCATGTGGACTGGTCAAAACAAATACACGATATATTCATGGACACTTTTTTTTTTTAGTTTATTAAAAATCACTAAAAATATGATTTTTTGTATGTGAAAGACTTAAAAGGCATACTGAAAGTCTGCCAAATTTTGTAAAAATATATTATATTAAAAGTTAATAATATCAAAATTATAAAGACTTTAAATGAGTACAAAGAGGTCACATGGTTGGTCAAATCGAACCGAGCCCATGTTGAAAGAGTTAATCTTCTGCATTTATTCCAAGGAGTTCTGTTCAGTGTTTAATTCATCCTCCTTATGTAATTAACAGTAGGGTGAAGTCATATATTTAAACAAATATTGGAAAAATATCTTCCTTGCTCTTTTTCAACTGAATAGGCTAAGGAAACTTTTCGGCATATTCTATATCATATTGTAAATGATTGGTGCACTTAGGGCTCATTTTCAACTTTTTGGCTTGCCTTTGAGGAAGTTCATTCAGTGAACACTTATCAATTAATTTTCTGTCATTTCTCTTCAAATTGTTCATGTAACAGTCTATTTATAAAGCATTTTTACACTTGCAATTTCCCATATTTCCCCAGCCAATCGTTAATATCTGCAGAATCTTAGATATCTTATGTTTAACTGTTTTCTATTCTAGGTGAAGTGGCATATTAGAAACTTTTCATCTGAAATAGGTAGAAGCTTAAACCACAGTTAAATTTTATATTAAAACATCATCAATTTTTAGTTAAGTCTTCAGCGCCATTTCCATTATTTACATATTAGTATGCCCTTTTTTGCAAGTTGAATTGTCCAATGACGTGTCTTTGATTCATGATGGTCTCAAACTTTCAGTTAAAGGAAGATTATACTGGTCTTAAAGAGTGATATAGAGATGGTGTCAGATTTTGATTTCCAAGTAATATTAATAACAGTGAAATTTTCAAAATGGAATTTATCAAAAACTGCTCTTTCAGACTACGAAACATTCAACAAGTCAGGGAATTAAAATGGCCTGTAGGACAAGTGTCGACTAATGATTCTGTCAACAACAATGGAGAAGATTCCAAGGATTCTAAAATGGAGAAAACTAGTTCTAAAATGGATACTAGCAAGGATATTGATGTTCAAAATAAACGTGTAGTGTCAAATAACAAAACCTGTAAGACTGCAAAAGGAAGTAAAGCCAAGGCTACAGAAGAGGAAGAAGAAAATGACAACGAAAGTGGCAACGACAGTGATGCAACTCAAGTAACAAACAGGATGTCTGAAGGAGAGGTTAGTAAACAACAGAATATTAATCTACCTTTAACTAGAATAACAACTCCTGCTCTGACCTGTGTTATAATAAAGTAACCATTTTCCATTTAATAGAACACGATTAAAACTTGCTTCTTTTAATACTGATTTATTCTTCTGAGTTACTCAGCCAACAATTTGAATAAAATTCTGAAAAAATAAATATGATTTGTCCTTGTTCAGGGTTACTTATGAGGGGTGAAGTTTCCCTGAAACTGGTAAAACTCAGTGACAAATGGTAAATCAAATAATACATTTAGATTCACATTAATGTTTTTAGTATTTTAATAAATACTTTAGTTTTAAGCTGCTGATGTTTCAAACGTTTGAAAGAGTTATTGAGAATGTTTGAGAGTGATTTGAAAAAGAACAGACTTGTCATAAAATGAAAGAGTATCCATGTTTAAGTCCAGTTGTAAAAGTATTTTATTTATAAAATAAACTAACCATAATTGTATGTATTATGTTGGAAGTAAATGTGAATATATCTTAAAAAAGGGATGACAGTTATATTGAATTTCCTACTATTTGTTATCAAAACTAACACTAGAATAGTTTGGTATATAGAGAAGAGTATTTAATAATACTACTAAACTTAAAATAAGACCCAAAACTCTAGCGCTTTCGAATAGTTGACTATTCTTCTTCTCCTTTGTTCTGAAGAAGAACTGTCAACTATTTGAAAGCGCTCGAGTTT